ACCACAACACACCACAACACACCACACCACACCACAACACACCACAACACACCACAACACACCACACCAGATCCCCAAACTCAAGTAAGTATTTCAACGTGTCTTACAAATATTTTCATTGGCCAATCTGAACAACAACAAAAGCTAAAGAAAAGTCTTATGTAAGTCTTTTATTGTCGTAGTTTGGACAATAATTAAAAAAAAAGGCTGTTAGGATTGTCACCGAACACAACACGCAGACCGCTATCAAATTCCAAACTGAAGGGAACGTCTCTCAGAATTTTCTTAAGTATTTTCATTGGTGTTTCTGACCCGTTTTCTTGTAAACATTGTCTCAGAAAAGTTTTATTTATTGCCTAAACTGAACAGAAGTAATGGACTCTCTCTTATAAATGTTTCCATCGACGGATCAGACTAGTAATGGCTGACCAAAGTTACGGACGAAGATTTGTATTAACTTGACGGAAAACAACAACGACTACAACAACAATAACAACAATAACAACAACAACAACAATAACAACAATAACAACAACAACAACAATAACAACAATAACAACAACAACAACAACAACAATAACAACAACAACAACAATAACAACAATAACAACAACAACAACAATAACAACAATAACAACAAAAAACGACAACAACAACAAAAACAACAACAACAACAAACACAAACACAAGAACAACAACACGAGTTGGAATCATCAATCAACACGACAAACAAACATTCTCAGATACCTAATTCGTCAAATTATTTCTCATGTAAGGAACATTTTCAAGGGCAAATCCATCTTGTAATCACTCAACAATATCTCACTGTAGTTCTTAATTCTTCCAACTACCAAAAAAGAAAAAAAAACAATAATTCATGAAAGAGAATGAGAAATAAATTCCTCTAGTGTTCCAATACATCAGGAAGAGTGAGAACAATATCAACAGTGAGACACAACTTATGGGACACAAGTTTCTCACCCACGCCGCCACACTACCAGCTGAGACACGAGGCAGTCTCAGTGTCAGGCGTCTCTCAGGACTCAATAAACCCAGCAACAGGAACTCCTAACCTAACCTAACCAAATCTGCCCGAAAACTAACTTTACCTAACCTAACCTAACTTAAACTAACCTACCCTACCCTTAAACTAACCTACCCTTAAACTAACCTAACCTACCCTTAAACTAACCTAACCTACCCTTAAACTAACCTAACCTACCCTTAAACTAACCTACCCTTAAACTAACCTAACATACCCTTAAACCTAACCTAAACTAAACTAACCTACCCTTAAACTAACCTACCCTTAAACTAACCTAACCTACCCCTCCCCCACACCGTCAGCAGGATGTTCAAGCTGGGGCAAAAGTCTCCTGAAAGATTGAAAGGAAGTTTTTTTTTATTGGTAGTGGCGGTGGTGATGCTTGTCAACCAGGGGAGGGAAGTTTCTCACGTCACGGCTGTTGGTGGCGTCGACGGTGGATATTGGCCTCGAAGGTTTTAAATGCCTTGGCGCTTCGACATGTCTTAGAGGAGGAGGAGGACAAATTAAACGGGAAGGAAGCGGCAGTCGGGGAAGATATTTGACGGGGTCTCAAGCCGAGTCTCTCACTAAAGATACGAGATGGTGTGTTGTGTTGTGTTGTGTTGTGTTGTGGTGTGTGAAAGGAGTCGGTCAGGGGTTTAACCGTGTACATTTATATACGCCACATTCAGTAGGCAAGCGTTCCACACACACACACACACACAGTATATTTACAGCCTTACCAAACAGGCTGTTTAAACATTGTCCCTCCGCCATGACTGTATACACACCCATGAAGAACCTCTCTCTCTCTCTCTCTCTCTCTCTCTCTCTCTCTCTCTCTCTCTCTCTCTCTCCTCTCTCTCTTTTCTCCTAAAATTCATTTGTTACTCCCAGGCACGACCCATTCCAATTCCCCTCACTCCTTCCATCCCATCCTATAGCATCCTCTTCCATCCCATATCCCCCCATCCCGTCTCTCTATCCCATCCTTCCCATCTAATCTCTTCCCATCCTATCCCGTCTCCCCATCCCATCACAGAGGCGAGGAGGACTTTGCTAACCTAAGAGAAGAATCATGGTGGTGTGGTGACCAAGGAAGGGAGACTTAACCCTGACATATACTTCCTACTCACCCTCACCCCCTCCCTCACCCACGCCCCTCTCCCCACACCCTTACCCCCTCCCTCACCCACGCCCCCATCCCCACACCCTCACCCCCTCCCTCACCCACGCCCCTCTCCCCACACCCTTACCCCCTCCCTCACCCACGCCCCCATCCCCACACCCTCACCCTCTATAGCTTCAGGCCGATATATCCCCGTATATCTGATCTTGTATATCCCCGTTATATACGAGTAAATGTACCCGTATATACTGACCTTCTATCTCTGTATATTTGAGTATATCCTTATATTGGCATTTCTTCAAGAGCTTTAAAAGGGGACTAAATATCCGTGATAAACATACAGA